CTGGTGGAGAAGTACGTCAGAGATCTGGACTCTGACTACTCCGATCTTGAAGAGGATCAGGTCGGCACTACTCAGGAGGATGCTCCTTCTCAAGCAGGCGGATCTCAGGAGGTCAACCTACTTGGGTCACAAAGCGAGCTATCTTCCCACCTCGGAAGCAGCTGAGGCTTCTTTCTTTTTCTTCCTTCTTTTTTTTTTTCTTTTTTGTAAGTTTGAAGGCAGAGCTACAAGGTATATAAGCCTTGTCTTTGTCTTCTTTGATCAATGAAATTTTGTTATTCACTCTTACTTCGGTGTAGCTAGCTCTGCTTCTTCCTTGCCTTTTCTTTAAATTTTGTAGACAAATTCACCTCATACCTCAATCTCTTTTGACATTGCGCCTTTTACTAAAGGTTTGAATTTGAGTCTCCATCTAGTCTTCAATGCATTACACAAACTCTGGACTTTTAACATCGCACCTTCAACTCAAACGTTCCAAGGTTTTAATTTTAAGTCCATAGCTATTCCTCACATCGCACCTCGTACCCTTAGGTTCAGAGGTTTGAATATTTTGAACTTTCCACATCGCCCCTTTAACTTAAACGTTCAAAGGTTTGAATATTAAGTTCACTAGTGGTTTTAACATCGCACCTCGTACCTATAGGCATTGAGGATTGAATTTTAACCAACTCTTTCACAATTAACTTTGAACCTTTCACATCGCACTTTTAACTCTTAACATACAAAAGATTGAATTTTGGTTCGTTGTCGGTTTTGACATCGCACCTCTAACCCGTAGGTTCTGAGGGTTGAATTTTAACCGATTATTGCAATTTAATCTTGTGGGAGTCCGTGGCCCCGATTTAACTTCTGGTCGAACTCGGAGCCATGAAATTAAATCACCCCGTTTATTCAGACCATCATTCCCTTGAAAATTTTTACAAGTTCATCTTAGGACCATTTTGACATTTCAAGGGTAATAGCGCTTCAGATGCTCCGCGTTCCATGGATGCGCGAGGACATCTCCTTTCAGATCGGCCAGTATGTACGTCCCAGGTCGGACTATTCCTCTGACTTCGAACGACCCTTCCCAGTTTGGGTCAAGGGTGCCCACATGACTTTGGATCCTCCTTAAGACCATATGTCTGACTTGGAAGGTTCGAGGTCGAACTCGGGCGTTGTAATGTCTAGCCATTCTGTTTTGATATTCCGCTAGGCGTAGCTGAGCCATTTCTCTTTTTTCTTCCAGTAAATCGAGGTTGAGGAGCAGCTCTTCCTCGTTTAATGTAGGCTCGTAGTGCTCCACTCTGTTGGATGGGAGGCCCATCTCAACTGGAACAACAGCTTCAGATCCGAAGGCGAGTGAGAACGGGGTCTCGCCAGTTGACTCTGTTGGGGTGGTCCGATATGACATAGAACCTTTGGTAGCTCCTCGGCCCACCTGCCTTTTCTGGAGTCCAATCTCAGTTTGAGGCCTCGCTTGATGATCTTATTCACCGCCTCCACCTGCCCATTTGCTTTCAGATGTGCAGGGGACGAGCTGAGATGACTCATACCGAGCCTTCTGCAAAAGTTCTTGAACTTTGCATTGTCGAATTGCTTTCCGTTGTTTGTCATGATGGCATGTGGTATACCAAAACGGCATACAATGTTTGCCCACACAAAGGACGTGACTCTGGACTCCGTAATGTGGGAGAACGTCTCGGCCTTGGCCCACTTTGTGAAGTAGTCCACAGCAACAACGGCGAACTTGGTCTGTCCTTTACTCAAAGGGAAAGGACCGATGATGTCTATCCCCACTGCGCGAATGGCCACGGGGCCGAGATGAGGGTGAGCAACTCGGGCGGCTGGTGGATTATATTTCCGAAGCGCTGGCAGTTGCCGCACACTCCTTCATGGATCTCCCTGAGGACATACATGCCTTCCTCAGGGGTCACACATTTCAACAGAGGTAAAGAGAAGCTACGTCGATACAACGCTCCGTCTCGGATTATGAACCGAGCTGCTTTTCTCACCATCTTTTCGTGCTCTTTGGGATCTTGTGGTAGATTTCCTTTAATGAAGTCCACGATTGGATCCATCCACGAGGGATCCGGAGTGTCGACCTCCATCAAATCTGGCTCCAAGATCGAGGGATTATCCAAGATCTCAACAGGGACCGACCTGGCCAGATCGGTCTCATATGCTGATGCTAACTTAGCTAAGGCATCAGCATTAGAATTTTCTGCTCTTAGAACCTGGCTTACTTCATAGGTCCTAAACTGGGGGACGTACGATCTGACCTTGCTCAGATATTTATCCATTCGGGAGTCTTTGGCTTAATACTCCTCTTTGATCTGGCTCACGACCAGCTGGGAGTCGCTAAAGAGCTTAATATGAGAGGCCCTCAGCGCCTTGGCGATCCACAGACCTGCTAGGAATGCTTCATACTCGGCCTCGTTATTGGAAGTCTGGAAGCTGAACTGCAGGGCATATTCAAACCGCTCACCTCCTGGCTCGAGCAAGCGGATTCCTGCCCCGCATCCTCTCTCGTTGGAGGATCCGTCGACATAGATCATCCACGGGAGGTCGGACTTGCTTAGCTCAGGAGGTGGTGTGAGCTCGGCTATAAAATCAGCCACTGCTTGTCCTTTCAACGCAGTTCTGGGTTCGAACTGAATGTCGTATTCACTCAACTTCATTGCCCACTTCATCAGGCGTCCAAAAGTTTCTGGCTTATGGAAGATGTTTTTCAAGGGCAAGTTAGTGAGCACCACAACAGTGTAGGCTTGGAAGTACGGCCTAAGCCTTCGGGCAGAGGTGACTAAGGCGAGAGCCAATTTTTCCATTTGAGGGTATCTGGTCTCGACTTCAGTCATGGCCTTGCTCGTGTAGTAGACGGGGCTTTGCCACGCTCCCTCTTCTTGCTTGATTAGGGCCGAGCTGACGGCGCTATCAGACACTGCCAGTTACAAGTGGAGCTTGTCTCTTGGCAATGGCTTGACGAGCAGAGGTGCCAAGCAGAGATAGTTCTTCAACTGCTCCAGTGTTTGCTCGCACTCTGCTGTCCATTCAAATGACCCATTCTTTCTTAGGATTTTGAAGAAAGAAAGGCACTTATCTGTTGACCTCGAAACAAACCTGTTCAGGGCTGCAATCCTGCCATTGAGGCACGGAAGCTGTTTCAGAGTCTTGGGTGCCTCCATCTCGAGCACGGCCTTTATCTTCTCAGGGTTGGCCTCGATTTCTCGGTTGTTTACCATAAAGCCAAGGAACTTCCCCGAGGAGACTCCAAAGGCACACTTGGCTAGATTGAGCTTCATTTGATACTTCCGCAGAACTTCAAAGGCTTCGGCCAGGTCGAAAAGATGCGACTTTGACTGCTTGCTCTTGACAAGCATGTCGTCCACATACACTTCCATATTCCGGCCGATCTTCTTGGCGAACATTTTGTTCACCATTCTTTGGTAGGTCGCCCCCGCATTCTTTAGGCCGAAAGACATGACCTTATAGCAGTACAGACCTTGGTCTGTTATAAAGGCGGTATGATCTTGATCTGGGACGTGCATTTTGATCTGGTTGTATCCAGAGTAGGCATCCATGAAGGTCAGCAGCTCGTGCCCGGCCGTAGTGTCCACGAGCTGGTCGATCCTCGGCAGTGGGAAGCAGTCTTTTGGGCATGCTTTGTTTAAATTTGTAAAGTCTACGCATATTCTCCACTTCCCGTTGGATTTTTTAACTAATACAACATTATAGAGCCACTCGGGATACATAATTTCTCTTATATATTCAGCTTTTAACAGTTTGTTTACTTCCTCAACAATTACATCACTCCTCTTCTTATTTACAGGTCTTCTTTTCTGTTTTATAGGTCGGAATGATGAGTCTATGTTGAGGCGATGCACCATGATCTTCGGGTCAATGCTAGACATGTCCTCTTGAGACCATGCGAAGACGTCCGAGTTGGTCCTGAGGAAATTGATAAGTTCCTGCCTATCAGTGGCCCCCAGCTTAGTTCCTATGCTTACTCATTTTTCAGGACTAAGCAAAGGAACAAGCTCGAGCTCCTCAGTTGGCGCGGAGAACTCCCTTTTACCTACTCTTGGTAGGTCGGCCTCGGACTTCAGTAACTCGTCCCCGTTGGCGTGTTCTTCTAGGGCACATACTAATGACCCTTTAAGTGCGGAGGCATAGCACTCCCTTGAAGCTTTCTGCTCTCCTCGGACCGTACCCACTCCATTAGGGGTTGAGTACTTCAGAACTTGATGGAGTGTTGAGGGAACGGCCTAGAATGAATGGATGATGGGTCTCCCGAAGATGGCATTATAGGCCGATCTACCGTCAATCACCACGAACTCGGCCATCTGAGTTATCTGCGTACTGTCCTGCCCAAACGTGACCGGTAAGTCAATACACCCTTCTGGGGAGACTGATTCTCCAGAGAACCCAACTAGCGGTGTCGGGCTCTTATTTAATTGCGCTCGGGTCCATCCCAAGGCAAGATTTGTCGGAAGGGACAAGATGTTGGCAGATGCGCCTCCATTTACCAACACCCTTATGACGACAACATGGTCAATCAAAGGAGCGATCACAAGTGCGTCATTGTGGGGCAAGTGGACCCCCTCCAGGTCTGTATCGTCGAAGGTAATGGAAAAGGTCGGTCTCTGCTCCCTATGATGCACACCTCGCGCCTGGCTGCGCGAGCTAGCTCCTTTCTTTTATTTCCGGACTGGCCCCCATTTGGTTCTCCGAAAATAGTGTTAATGACCGCAGGTCGGTCATCTCGACGAGGTGGCGTCCTTGAACGCTTCCTCTCCTCTTTCTTCTCTGCCGAGTTGGACCTCGGCTTCCCCACAAATTTCTTGAAGTAGCCATCTTGAATGAGGTCTTCAATCTGGCGCTTCAATTCCCAACAGTTTGATGTGTTATGGCCGTGCTCACGATGGAAACGGCAATATTTGTCCTTGTTGCGCCTCTCCGGGTCTTCTTTGAGCTTCTCAGGTCGTTTGAGGAGTTTTTCCATTCCAGACTCCTCGATATTTGTAAGGATCTCGGAGATCAGAATGGTGGTAATGAGTGTAACACTCATAAGGTCGGCTCCGACTGGAGCCGTTCTCCGCCCTTCGATACTCTGCACGGCCACTAGAGGAAGATCCCTTGTCCTTGGACTTGGAATCTGCCTTCCCCTTATCTTTTCCACCTTTGCCTTGGTATCTTTCTTTATGGTCGGCCAGTTTTGGTTCGGAGGAGCTCTTGCCCGTCAATGACTTTCTTCGCCTTCTATAATACTTCGGCGAAGGTAGCTGGAGCCTCCTCTCCAAGCTTCACAGTGAGGGCTTCGTCGGTCAGGCCGGTGAGGAAGTAGCACATGGCAGAGTCATCGGAGTAGTGCGCGACCTTAAACTGCTCTTCCTGGAACCTTGTGACATATCCTCTTAGCGTCTCACCTTCCTTCTGTCTGATGGTGGCGAGGTGAGTCGCTGTTTTTCTGTCATAATTTCGAGAAGAGAATTGAGCGATGAACTCTCTCCTCAGCTGAGAGTAGGTCGAGATCGACCTGGCCGGCAATCTTCGATACCACAAGCGCGCGCTGCCGGTAAGCGAGATCTGGAAGGCGCGACATTTGATTGCATCTGTTGCCGCTTGAAAATCCATGAGGCCTTCGAAGACCTCGACATAATCCTTTGGGTCCTTAGACCTCATAAGGCTTCACGGTAGGAGTTTTGAACTTTGGAGGGATTGGTGCCTCCAAAATGTCCGAGGTGAATGGCGATTCTCCCAGGTCGCCATCATCGAGTGGAATTTCTTTCTTCTCGCACTTGGCCTTCAAGGCCTCAACCTGAGCATCAAACTTGCTCTTAAGCTGGTCGAACTCCTCCCTCTTGATCACCCATTCGGGTGTTACCGGATTGTAGGAGGATTCTGCCTGCTGGTTGGAGTTCCTGTGCGAGCAGGACGGAGACTGTCCCTTTCGGAGGGACGAGCTCCTCTTTCTGTTAAGATGCTCGCGGAGATCACCTCTTTGGTGAGTGTACTCTTCGTCCTCACCCCCTTCAGGATGCTCTTCCTCGACTGGGCCGAGGTGATGACCCCTCTGCTCGCTCAAGTCATCGCGTGCCGCCCTGTTTTCAGACCGAGACCCTGCACCCGCAGCTTGCACCATCTCGTTATACATCTCTTCCATGGTACGCATCTGAGTGCGCATTGCCTCCATTTCTTTCTGGAGTGCATCAAAATTCTCCCTCGTTGGAGCTGGGGCTGGTTCTCGAGCAGCTCTCTTCGAAGCCCCACCTCGGTCGCGATTGGCCTTGGATGGCTTGGGATGTGCTGGTGGCAAGACGGGCGTGGTGATACGTGCCGACCTGCGGAGGGGCTCTGTCCCCAGGCCTTCATGAACTTGCCCTTCTACCACCTCCGCTCCAACCTCCCTCTGGTGGCCATCGTTGGCCGCTAGAGCTCTTCGGTCGGCTGTGTTGGTTGAGTTTGCTGGCTGAACCATTTTCGTTCGCGTTCTTAAATCGGGATGGCTTAGATCGTACTTTCCCACGGACGGCGCCAAATGTTTATGCAAGATTTGCACAACGTTACTTTTTTCGAACCTAGCTCGAACCCGGTCTCCGGTCCGACCTGAACACTAAAGTAGACCTGCACATGAGGGTAAACACTCTGACGCTCAAGTCAGTATAGGTCGAACTCTCTATTTAGTTCGAGGTGAGATTCGATATCTGAGCGTGAAATGGAGCCCTCTATTTATAGGTGGTGGATCCGACAATACGCACGACCGGCGGTTACTTGTCTTTTCTCACATCGGACCTGTCGGGTTTCTCAGTAGGTCGGACCCCGAGCAGGTCGTTCCTCAGCTTTCATACTTAGCCTTTTCATCGATCGTAACTAGTCTCCTCGAAGGCTCGAGGTGGACCTGGTTCTCCGGTTTTCACTTAAGCACCAATGGCTGTCCTCCACGTGCCCAGGGTATTTTTACACCCAAACAGAGATTATGAAAAAATCAAAATTAATGATAAAAAAAAAAAACTGTAATTCATAAGAAATAAACATTAACATAATTACCATAAGTCAATAATAATTCATAATTTATTAAAGAAAACATTTTGAAATTCAAAAAGGTTGATGACAATGTAGTTAGGAATATAGAAATATAACCTAAACATGAGATCGTTATATTCATGTTTTTCATCCTATATGTCATTTAATAAGTGAAATTTTAGAAGAGTTTAAAGTTCTAAATTTATATTAGCATCACCGTTCTGTTAATTTGTTTAATGTTATCATCATAACATTTCATTTGTTATTATAACATACTGCAACTGCAATTTTTTATTAGTACAGAAAAATACATTGCAAGGAACATATATAATAAAATATTTCTTTTGATTATTTATTCTGAAAAAATATTAATCTAAAAATTAATATTCATTCTAACAAATAGCTTATTATCTTTTTACTAAAATGATTATCTTTAATATCTTTCTTAATAATTATGAATTTGTTGTTTTTACTTTAACTTTTTGGATACTTTTCCTAGAACTTAGAAGGATTAAAATACTCTTCCATTTCTCCAATGTTATTTTTTTAACTTTAATACTAAAATTTAAAATATATTTAAATAAGAACAATAGCACAAATAACAATGGCAAAATTAGAAAAAGAAGCTGCTGACCATCATAGTGGCAGATTGGCAATGACACTACCACTGGATGGAAAGATGTCTTAACCCGCATCCTAAAATCAGATGCAAAGGACATGTCAGTGCATGCTGCAGCTGAGAATAAGATTAATCACTCAACAAATAAGTTCATCATGCATGTGCTTTCCTTTACTAATCTTTTCCCGTGTTCCTTTTGGTGAAGCAAAGAGAGAAGGAGAGTGCAACAAATAAGCAAAAGAAAAAGAAAAGGACATGCCTGCTATAAATAGTAGCAAAAAAATGCCGAAGTCTAGGATACATGGGAGATTCGATGTTCCCGAATTCCTGTGGACAAAATGAGAAATCCAATGCCCGGACTTAATATAATACCTGCGGTAATATTCCAAATGGAAGTATTTTGACATAAACAGGAACAAGCAGTTGACAGAAAACACTCACCAAAAATGTTGCAGAACGCCCAGATGGACAACTGTATTTGCTCCAACCAAATTTGCAATAGCCAGAACCACCTTCTCAACAGTCAATAACAAACAAGAGAAAAAAAGAGTGCCTTAACATCCAATCCTACAACTTCAAAAATTGAAGATGACATCAAGAAGATGAAAGCTTTACACATTGAAATACTAATAATTTGTTGCACTGTTAAGCTTTTTGGTTGAAAAAATAGCTCTACTGACGTAGAAGATACAATGAAGGTTAGTAAAGTAAATGAATCATATATCATTTCTAAAGAAACCTATCACAGGGAAAACTTAGACTCAGAAATACAAGTATAGAGGCAAATGAGATGGAGAGAACCAAGAGAAAAAGTATACAAGTCCACCGACTCAGCCCCAAAGTGGGAACGTTTTTTCAGGAGAAATCTCACCAACCTTAAATAGAGGACTGGGCCCCTCTTTCCTCTATGGTTCACAATCGTGAACCTAATCATCACGCTGACACAAGTTTTGGTAAACTATAAGGTACTGATCCTTCTGCTATCTTAGTTCAGACGTTTATTCAATGCTAACAATATGTTGGAGCCTATTTTAATTAAGGCTGTGGAAGGCAAAAAACCGAAGAAATTAAGTTCTTTCTGTAGATAGAGGGCTCTAATTATGATATAAAAAGTCCAAAGGAAACATCCTGCCCTTAATATCCAACCTAGTAGATGAGTGTCATGTTCAAAGATGGCAAAACCCAAAATCATTTACTCATGATATGACAAATCTTGAATGTCTCATTGCAATCCTTCAAGAGCTTACTTCCATTCTCTTCATTTGAATGGGCAATTCTTCCAAAGGAAGAACATGGTGTTATATGTCAGCATAGCTGCTAAAAGCTTGCCAAAATAGAAATTTCCATTTTCCGTCAATGGATTCTCACTTGTCGTCATCATTCTTGATCAAACTCTTTAACCTTGCCCTGATACCCAAATGATGCAATCTAGCATCAAATAGTCTGAACTTTAAAAATTATCAACTAAAAGTATTTATTAATATAATACAAGAGTTTAACTTTCTGTTTATGGACCAAGTAAACCAATTATTAACAAACAAAATATAAAACCAATTAACAACTAAAAACTAGCAATTAAAAAAAATCAAATAAACTCAAAACAAAACTACAAAATTAAAAATCCTAGTCACACTATTTCGACTAAAATGCAATCTGATCTGTTTTAGTAAACTTACAAAGTAGGCGTTTGTCTTGCTAAATTTTACACTCATGAATATGTTTTAAGGGGTTTGAATTTGGGGAAGACAATAGGCAATGCTAAAGTGTTCTACATACTCAAAAATCCTTGAACCTATCTGAACATTCTAGGGGATGGTAGGTCTATTTTTTCAGTATCTAGTACTTAATAACAACAATATTATGTTATGGAATCACCACTTGGATCATCCTAATTTTATGTATCTCAAAAAAGTTGTTTTATATATTTTCAACATTTTGTAATCTTTTTGAAGTGAAATTTGTGAACTTGTAAGCATACTCGCCCCTGTTATCCCTCGTGCATTTATAAGGCTACTCAACCTTTCCCTATGGTTGCATAGCAATGTCTCCGGGGAAATAGAGTTAAGAATATTACTCAGTTAGCATCTCTGTTAATAATCACACTAGACTTGCATCTTCTTAATGAGGAAAAGAAACTGAACTAATATCTTCGAAAACCTGTGCTCCATTTCAAAATAATTATTGTCACAAGACTGAAGATAACAAATAAACGAGGCCCTCGAGAGAGATAAATCCAAGGGTCTTGACTTTGACAATGATGAGTGCTTTACTTGTCAAACTTGTCCCTGCATAATATTATGAAAATCATCTGCGCATTCAACTCATTGCACAGAACCTATCAAGAAAATGAATCGATTTCTGTGTACAGTAAAGAAAACAGTTGGCGAAAGGAAGCCTCGATGAAACAAAGAAAACTGGCATATATTCAGAGAATAATATCATACAATGGTATTCTGAATTACAAAGTGCAAGTTCATTTGTCAGAGATGATAAAGTAACAATGTGCAAGAACTGGGGAGGTTCCAGAAACTCACCATCAATGATAACAGTACCGGGTGCTTCAGCCCGTTTTCTATATATTTTCATGAATGACAATGGCGTCAACTGACTGGAGAATGTTCTGCAATCAAAACGCATGGTGAAACCTTCTAATAACTTTACAAGCAGCAACATTATATACATTTTCCCAGTAGAACCACACTTATAATCAGCACAAATTATTCTTGTATTGCCCCTTTTCATGATGAGATTGACATGTAATGAAATCAAATAACACAAGGCGCAGGGAGATTAATTTACAAACTTACTCAAGAGGGTAGCCCGAGGCCAACTTAGTTTCCCCAAACAAAACAGAATCCCAAGGCTCCAGTTGGTTTTGGAGGAAAAAAATCCAAAGACTATTGTCAGAAACAAGCGATCTCCAAGACTTGCAGACCATACCCATTTTCGCTGTGCTGTTGGGCCCAGCTAATTTTAGTATTTGAATCAGTATATCCATGGGAATCTGATCGAATTCTCCCAAAGACGACGACCCTTCAAATCGACGCCGATCACTGGGCGACATTTCCAAGTGCAATCCCGAACGGGTGGACACCGATTCCCACACTTTTCTCAGCAACATAGCCATGGGCAAATCAAAAAGAAAAAAGAACAGGTTCGAAGTATATGCTGCAGCAAAAGCAAATGAAGAGGAACGGAGTCAAATTAGTCAAATCAGAATTTTGTATTCCACAGAGATCAGCTCCTACTCAACCAAACAGAGTAGAACGAAAATGGAATTGTGAGTATTGGAGGAGCAATTGGGTTTTGAATGGATTTTGATAATTTATCGGCCACCGATGACCGACGGCCTTCGAGACTGACGTGGGCAGAGTTGTCGGTCCACACGTGTACCAAAGGGACACCACCAAATGCGAAATCTTTGATTTGGAGGCGGACACAGAAATGCGGTACGGAGAATATTACAGTTTCCCAGTCTTTGGGAGGAATTTGGAATGGAATGGTGTGTGATACGAAAGATTCAAGAATCTGACCAAAGGTAAATGACAGGGTGAAACGGGATACTATTTAAAATGTGAAAAAAAAAAGCAAAAACATTTTCAGGAAGGATTTTGAGTTAGTTGGGCAGGTTTTGTAGCGTTAATATTTTGATTGTGGTGAATTAGATCTTCCACAACAAAGAAATGGAAAATGTCTGATGAATTAGTTTAAACTAGAAGAGGGCATGAATTGGTTTTTTTCTTTTTTTTTTTTTTTGAAGAATTTATCAGGGAGGATGTTGATGGGTTAGGCCTTCAACTATACGAGGAGGATACCGAGGAGTTGATGCACATTGTGAGATAGAAAAACGTCAAGAGGAAGGATGGTAAGATTCTATTATTGAGCTCTTTTCAATAGGAGCCCATCTTTTAAAAAAATGATGCTAAACGATTGAATATAAGTGTATGGATAAAGAGATACGAGGAACGTTATCTAAAGGGAAATTGGGGACTTCGAGAGTCGAGCTATTGTAGTAGCATAGGAATAACATGAGGAGAACTAGTCGAGGACTTAAGGTTAAAAGTAAGGAAATGTGTAAAGGAAAAGAATAAGATACTTTCGTTGACAGGGATCTAATAAGATAATGATGGTCCTTAGGAAAGCGGAAGTTGAGGGTCGTTTGTCAATGTTCAGTTTTTTTGTTTTCTCCTTTTTTAACATAGAGAAACATAATTGCATTTGGTTTTTTTTTGTTCATTTATGTTTTTTTATTAAAAAAAAAAAGAAGGCAACCATAAAATTTTAAATTCAAAATGGAAAAATGTAATTAATCTTCAAATTTTTTATGTTATTAATACTTTTTCATATTTATTATGCATTTTATAATTCAAGATTGATAGAACAATATTTTTACTTATGTTTTGAAAACAAAATTGAAACATTAACAAGAAATAAGAAACTTGATTTTGTGCCAACCAAAACATTAAGACACATGTTTCCAATCATGAGGTTGAAAGTTTGAATCGCCACCCCTACAATGAGTAACAAAAAAATATAAATAGACGTAAGATGCTTAGGTAAAACTGGAAACAAGAAATAAGAATAAAAATCTTATCAAAGGCGCCCTAAGTTATCACGGATAATGAGGAGGAAATTGAGGAAAAAGAAGGGTAAGTGAAAAGCATGCTAGTGTTAGCTTTAGAGATTCAATAAAATTAAATATTTTGATGATCACAAACCAAATGTGAATTGATAATCTAAGTTATTCAAAGTGTCAATAACGTAGAGCTCGGAAAAACGAATCAAACGCATTATGAAACACTCAAATCAAAGTCCAAATGAAAAAATTATGGTCAAAACAAGTTTGAAAAAAAAAACAAAAAAGAGTACACGCATGGCATGTGACGTGAATAAGTCTGACCATCAGAAGCCAACATGTGGCAGGTGATGTGGCTCTTTGTTGATGTGGTGGATGGCATGGCAACTAACATGGAGCTAGCAGTCAAATTTCTATCAACGTGGCAGTGACGTGGCGCTCAACTATCAAATTTATGTTGACATAGCATATGATGTGGATGGAGAATCATGTACTGAAATGTGGCAAATAAACTGAGACGCGGCGATGAAATAAGCAAACAAGTTGGTGCTGACGCAAACATTTTGACCAATGGTAGCCTGGCGCTATATGACAATTCCAAAAGAAAGGGAATATGAAAATAAGGCCCTATTTGATAGGATATTGGATAACTTAGGTTAGTTGAGTGACTAGATTTTAACACCTGTTTTAATAAATAGCCAATAGTATGACAATTTGCAAAATAACCATCAAAATTTTAGGATAATTCAAACCGGTATGATTTTCCAACTTTATATTTATTCTATATTTTTAAATCTCACCTAAAAAGTTTAGGGGCAATTTGAGGTATGACCAAAAAAGTTAGGAAAATAAGCAAAATAGCAACAAGGTTTGAGTTTTTCAAATATAACATTTTCTTTTTTGCAAAAAAAACGGAGGTCTACGTTCTAAATTACAAGTATACCCTACAGGCCCGAACCAACAATAAATTACTTCTGATTGACTTTTGATATACTAATGATTGACAGATATACTCCTGATATATATGTGATATATGTTTTATATACATATGGTATGAAATTGATTTACTTCTCATATAACTATGATATCTATTACTATAGGTGACATAGAATTATTGATTGATTTCTGATATACTATTGATTTACTTATCATATAACTATGATTGACAGATATACTCCTGATATATATATGTGATATATGTTTCATATATATCTGATATGAAATCRATTTATTTATGATATAACTATGATATATACTACTATATGTGATATATAACTGACTGACTTTTGATATACTATTGATTTACTTATGACATAACTATGATTGACAGATATACTTCTGATATATATGTGATATATGTTTGATATACATATGATATAAAATTGATTTACTTCTGATATAACTATGATATCTACTACTATAGGTGATATAGAACTGATTGACTTCTGATATATTATTGATTTAGTTCTGATATAACTATGATTGACATATATACTCTTGATATATGCTTGATATACATATGATATGAAATTTATTTACTTTTGATATAACTATGATATCTACCAATTATTTCGAACATATTACCTCTAATATATGTTTTTTAATATACTACTAATATATGAAATAATTTTTTTTTCAGATAAAAGCAATGGTATAAGCACAAAAAAATGAAATAAAAAAACATCGTCGAAAATGTTGATGTCGTTCGTCCTAAAAGACAACATAAACCAACGCCAAAAGTGTTATCTATGGAAAAACGGAAAGCTTCAAAGATATTATCTCCGAAGACACGACAATAACCAATAACGAAGATTGATGTCCCAAGCTTTTACCTAAAGATTATACAAGAATGAAACTTACGCTTTTCTAGACTGTTGGAACTTATGCTTCTTCTTTTATAGAATTTTAAGAATGACATTGTTAGTCTACTTTTGGTTTATGGTACTGGTTCGTTTTGATGTTTAAACTTTTAAGTTTTTGGTTGAAGGACTTTGCTGATGATTTGATGTTGATGTTGATACCCAAGAATGATGTTTAAACCTTTTAAGAATGACATTGTTACTGATTTCATTTTAATCTTTAAAACTTTAAATAAAACTTAATTGTATTATTGATATATATACAATGTATACTTGAGATATCACTGATATATTATTGATATACAGAAAAATCCTAAGTTTCTATTTACCTCTAATTTCTAATTGATTTCTCATTCACAGTAATTTCGACAATCACCATTGACGTTCACATTGACGTTCCTTTCAAGTTTTCTTTCTCATTTTCAGTAAGTATCAAATTTTTTTCTCATTTTCCATGCATGCCACTACCTACTAATTTTTAATTGATCAAAACAATACAAGACAAAGAGTTAATGCACGTAAAATAGTGATTTACTATTATACAAGCCCAACCACTAAAACCCAGGCCCATGAGACAATCCATGAGCCCAACTTAATGGACCAAAGTTGGACTGAACTTAGATTTATCCTTTGATCGGGCTTCAATTAGTCCATATAATAAATTATTTTTTAATTATTATAAATTATTTTTAAAATATTTTTCAAACCAAGCTCTTCAGTATTAGAATTTGTGTTTTTATTTTATACTTCTGTATAATTTTTTATTTTTCAAAAAATTATCAATAAATTTTGTTATATCATATTTTTACAACGTAATTTGTTTTATTTTCACATAAATAAATTGTATTACTATATTAATATATATAAAAAAATAGAACAATAAGAATAATCCTAAATACTAATTAATTATATATTAATAATTAATATATGTATATATCAAGATTCAAAATGTTGATGTCGATAGAAATGTTGAGCTCCTGATTTTACAGACATGTCAATGAACACGTGACAGATATTTTGGGAAAAATCACGGAAATTGTGAAAAATAATAAAAAATTGTTTTAATTAGTAAATAAAACTGTAATTGAAGCTTAATTAAGCTATAATTGGTCACTTCTAACCATATGTAAAAATATGAGTAACTTACTTATGAAAATATCAATGTCAGAAATGTCGGAGCAAGATAATGAAGATTGATGAAAATAATTTGAATTAGTAAATTGAAGTTCAATGTTGCTTAATTGTGTTTTATTGAAAATTAATAATTTATAACCAAATCTAGTATTTAATTACATAATTAAACAAGATATGAAATATTGATATATATACACACATGTATATATGATGATTAAATTTAATTATTATAAATAGAATTATAAAAAGAAATTCAATTGGAATAAAAATATGAGTGAAAATTGAAATAAATGAATAAATTTAAATAATAATAATATTATTAATCTTATAATTATAATTAAAAAAAAGTCAAATGACGAATCCCTCCCACATAGGAAAGCTAATATTATTATAGGCTGGGCCTTTTTATACGTGCCTGATTTGAGTTTAATTTTTTTTAACCATATTCTGTAAATATTCCAAGATGTCGATATTTTCACGACATGTCGGTGATAATTTATTATATCATTGATATTTTCCCCCCACGTGTCGATTTTGATCCCTTTGACACGTTGACAATGGACGTATTGATCGATATTTAGTACACTGGTATATATAAGATTTTTTTTAAATAATGTAATTAAACAAACAAAAATAAGGTAGTTTGATAAATAATTCAAAAAGTACGACATCTAAATCATGTACATTGTGACGCGAGTTCCATGGAACCTGCATCTAACTATTGGACCCGAGTTACATGGAAATCACATCCATTGGACGCGAGTTACGTTGAGGACACGATTTCGTTGCGATGTGGCTCCAGTTCGAGCCATGTGTATGAGACTAAATATGTATATATATCTCGTATGCGTTGCACACGATTTCTCCAAACTCGTGCCACCGCAGTCCACTGGCAGGAAAATGTCCGTATATCTTATTATTTGTTTCAATTTTTCCTACTGATTTCATGTTATGAATGCTATTTTTGTGTATTTTTCTTAAT